GTTAACTCCGAAGTTAAGAATTTGGGGTCACAGAGTCAGTGGCTGGAGCCGGGAGTTAAATCCAGGGCTTTCTTACTAAAACCCTGTGTTGTTTCTGAGTGCTTGGGTGCAGGGAGAGGCCTGCAAGGCTGCGGCTTCAGGTGCGCAGACAGCTCTGGAGCCCACTTGAACGTGGGGACGGGGCGGCTGGAAGGTTTGTCTAACCAGGCACAGCTTCACCCCAGGCACGCCCCACACGGCTCTCTTAAAGTACCCCCCACCCCCAGGGGGTGTTCCGGCCGGAGTGGAGGTGGCCTCGTGGGCTGTCTGTGGACTCCCGTTCAGCCCCGGAGGCTTGGCGGGATGGCTCAGCCCACGCCTTACAAGAGGAGCGGTGAGGGCTGCCCTCCCCATGGCTCCTTGAGTCACTCTGGGCCTTTTGTTGACACTTGGTCCTTTTCTTTGGTCTGCCCTCTACCTGCTGCTTTTCTGTTTCCTGCCATCTAGAGGAGGCATGTCTAAATCCCAGCCTGGTGGCGGTGGGGGGTTGGTTTTGGCCTGTTTCTGGGCAGCGTCCCAGGCTCTTCTCTATAGGAGTGGCTCTCTGGCTCCTTCTCAGGGGCGTGACTGTGCTCTGGGAAGGACGCAGTGGTTCCTAAGAGGGCCAGCCTGCATTGGGGGTGTCCTGTGGCCTGCCGGTGAGGAAAAAGGGGACTTGCCCGGAGTCACCCAGAGAGATGGCGGTTCGGGGGCTGGGACCCAAGCTTCCCAAAGACTCTTGGGCCATTGTTTCCACATGGTCTACTATTCCTTAGTAGCCTCAAAAGATGAGAAGCACAATTTTCTCTTCCTCTGGGGACAGTGCAAGAAGTGGAAACACTTTTGAGGTGGCATAACTGTAAAATAGGCTACAAATTAAACCGCTGTTGCAGAGACCCACAAATCCATGGGCTTTTAAATCAGGTATTTGATAGTTTGTGTGAAATACAATGGTCCAAGGCCATCCTGAACCCAGGGTGGTTATTCCAGCTCCTGCCCTCACACCTGCATTCCAGTCCTTGGGAAGGGAGAAGAGGACAAAGGGCCGGTGCACCTTTGCTGCTGCATTTCTGCTGCAGAGCGGCTGGGAAATGCAGTTTTAAGCTGGGGGGCCGTGAATCGAGCTAAAACTAGACAGTTCTGTCAGCAGTCCTGCTGCAGACGGCCGGTTCACCAACGGCCTTAATTGTTGGCAGGAAACAGCACAGAATAGAGTTGGGAGCTGGAGCTTAGTCTAGTCGCTTCATTTTAGAGAAGCGTTTAAGACCTAGAAAGGGGAGGTGGTTTGCAGCACTTAATAGGCCTGTAGAGCAGGGGTCAGCAAACGTTTTCTCTAAGGGTCAGAGTGTTAAATTTTCGGCTTTGGGGGCCTCGTGCTCTCTGCCACAACTGAGCTCTGCTCTTGTAGCTCAGAAGCAGCCAGAGAGTACAGGTGAGCCGGCTGTGTTCCAGTAAAGCTTTATTTATGAAAACAGGTAGTGAGCCAGATCTGGCCCCCGAGCTGTAACTTGTAGGGAATGAATGAGTCCTGCAGAACAGGGAGCCCAGCACATAGCACCGGACAAGCAGCAGCTGTAGGTCGTCTTACTGCTGTTAATTGTCGCTGCTGTGCAGGGGCACCCAGCCAACAGCCCCCAAATCTGTTCTTCCCGCCCAGTGTTGAGCTGTGCTGCTGGGGTCTCCTCCTCACTCTTGCCATAGTTCGACCCACTTTAGAGCTTAGACTTTGTGACTTCCCTTGCATTATTTATTTGTCAAGTGCCTCGTCGTGCCAGGTGCTGCGTGGGTGAGGGTGTCACCACGGTGGGTACGGAAGTAGGGGAGGCCTGATGAACCTGCCCTCAGGGCACTGGGCTGTCCACATAAGTACATTCTGGAAATTTAAATGACCCCAGGCTGAGAAGTACCAGGCCAAGTCAGGCACGAGAGCCATCGGACCACCTGGCCCCTGGCGCCCCCAACTCGCCCTTCTCTTCCCGCAGGTTACGACTTTGCGGCCGTCCTCGAGTGGTTTGCTGAGCGCGTGGACCGCATCATCCTGCTCTTTGATGCCCACAAGCTGGACATCTCCGATGAGTTCTCAGAAGTCATCAAGGCACTCAAGAACCACGAGGACAAGATCCGCGTGGTGCTGAACAAGGCCGACCAGATCGAGACCCAGCAGCTGATGCGGGTCTACGGGGCCCTCATGTGGTCCCTGGGGAAGATCATCAACACCCCCGAGGTGGTCAGGGTATACATCGGCTCCTTCTGGTCCCACCCGCTCCTCATCCCCGACAACCGTAAGCTCTTTGAGGCCGAGGAGCAGGACCTCTTCAAAGACATCCAGTCTCTGCCCCGCAACGCCGCCCTCAGGAAGCTCAATGACCTGATCAAGCGGGCGCGGCTGGCCAAGGTAAACCCAGGCTGGGGACGCAGCCCCAGGGGGCTCTGGGATGGCCACTCGGGGCCCCGGGATTGGATGCCCAAGACCCAGCCCTGCAGACCCATGGCTGCACTGTGCCACGCCTTGTCTGAACCCATCCTCTTGTGCCCCCGTGGGAGCAGCCTTTTCCTGAGATTTTTTTTAACACACATAAGCATCAGATAAGAAGGTACCACTGTGCCGGGGGCAGCCTGGGGGGTGGAGAGTGAGTGGGGATGCTTCTCGAGGGCTCATCAGTTTCCCCCCAGGTCTGCTGAGCACTGGAATGCACGCAGCATGTGCTGGGTGCTGGGGATGCAGTGGGGACTGACAGGTCCCCACCCTCCTAGCACTTGTCAGCCGTACAGGGAAAAGCAGAACACATAAAGAAAAAGAAAGTACGATTTATTTGTATTGTCTCGGGGTCAGCCTGGGATGAGCTGTCCTGGGAGGGCGGGCTAGCCCGGGGGGCCTCGGGCGGGAGACGATGCTTAGGCCGAGACAGGAGGTAGTTAGTGGAGAGATGGGGCGCAAACCTGCGGGCCCAGGGAGAGCGCTGATGGCCTCTGGCCCAGAGGCCTTGCAAACCATCCCTACTCTTCCATGGAAGCACAAGGCCTGCTGGCACCTGTGGACAGCATCTGAATTGCTCAGGAGTTTGGAGTCTCAGTGCCTGGCCGAGCACTTCAACAGGACCCCGGGGTGGCTGGGGCTGGGGAAGGAAGGATAATGCCACCAGTGGGCCCTTCAGACACTGAGGAGCAGAGCACGTCCCCTTAGGACACGATTTTGAATGGTACCGCATTTTGAGGCTCCCTTCTGTGTAGCCCAGAGGCTCTGGCACTCTGCCATGGGCCAAACACAGTGGCCCAGGGCGCCCTACACTGTCTAGAGGGCTGGAGTCAGGTAGTTTTGGGTGCTCCCTGGCTTGAATAATGAGAAGCGACCCTGCATCCTTTACCCCCGGCTGTGTCTCCTCTGTGGTTACCCAAAGTGCTCCAGGACCAGCAGATTGGAACTCACTAGAAACATAGGTTCTGAGGCCCCTGCCCTACTGAACCATAATCTGTATTTGGACACGGTCCCCTGGTGACCTGTATGCAAAGTAAAGATGCCTGCACCCTGCTCTGGAGGGCACAGGGCTGCACATTTCTGTAGATATCTCACTTCTGGAAGCTTCCTGATGAGTGGAACTGGTTCTGAGAAAGGAGCCCATGAGAAAATCCACATACTTGGCTCCTGGCCTCGAAGGGCCAAGCGATGATGTCCTGAGCTGAAGGGGAAGAGGGGTGAATGGAGGAGAGACTGGCCTCCTGTTTTCCAGTCCAGCCTCTGCTCAGCCTCAGGGCAGGGCAGCCCCCCTCCTTTCCCTCCAGCCCCTCTCCCGGCAGGGCTTCCAGTGCTCTCATCGCTCAGCCTCCCTCCAGGACGGAACAATGGGCAGACTTCAGGCCCTGCCTGCTCATTTACAGAGATGGTGTGTAATCGCGTGGCCCTCGGGCACATTGAGTCACCCTGCCTGGAAAGCCCCAGCCTCTCCAATCTTGTCCTGCACCTGCTGTTTTGAGACTGTTTCCTTTTCCTGGACTGAGTCGCTGTCTCTGCTGGCCTGTGATGGGCAGAGCTGTGACTGTGACTCTGTGACCAGCCTGCTTCCCTGGGGCAGTTCTCAGCCAGGTCTCAGCCCCCGGCAGACAAGGTCAGGCCAGTGGAGAGGTTTTTTTGGGGGTGGAGCTGGCAGTCTAGGAGAAGGGGGTGTGAGGCTGGCTGGCTGCAGCCCTCCTAGGCAGGACGTTGCTTGGCAAGGCAGAGGGATTTGAGGGCTGTGCCTTTGCAAGGTTGCCAGAGTTACTGGCCCGCTGTGGGGAAGGGAAGGATGTGCCACCCTTCATTGGCAGATGTCTACCCAAGGTACTGCGTAAAGCCTGAAACATCTGGGGAAAGCCTTGTGGGATTTTCCTAATCCTTAGTCGTCCCCGAGGCTGTCAGGATGATAAAGTGGGGCATAACTCAGGCTGTGTTGGAGTTCATGGCACCAGCATCCACAGACTTGTGTAAGCAGGATGGCACAGCTCTGCTTGGCTTGGTAGGAATGCGCTCGGTGTCTCTGATGTGCAGAGGAGTCACCGGGGAGGGCTGTGCGTGCCGAGAAGTGGAAAGAACACAGGCTTTGGGCTGCGGCTGTGGTTAGCTGTCCCGGGTTACAATCCAGCTTTGCAGGGCAGCACAGGTGCAGGCCATGCTCCCAACAAGGTGTCCAGGAAGCACCTGACACCCACCCCTTCTCTGTCTTCACAGGTCCACGCCTACATCATCAGCTCCCTCAAGAAGGAGATGCCCAATGTCTTCGGTAAAGAAAGCAAAAAGAAAGAGCTGGTGAACAACCTGGGCGAGATCTACCAGAAGGTTGAGCGGGAGCATCAGATCTCCCCCGGCGACTTCCCTAGCCTCCGCAAGATGCAGGTACGGCTGCCCCTTGGATGGGAGTAGGGACGGCTGGGGCACTGGGGCGGTGGTTCTGGAGGGAACCCCGGCTCCATGGGGCGGGGCCTGCCAACATGGAAGCTCCCAATTAATCACCAGCGCCCCACCCAATCGGAGAAGTTGACCCAGTCAACTTCTCACAGGGGAATGACACCTCACAGGGGAATGTGGTGACTCACACTGAGGGGGAGGGGGAGGGGGAGGGCAGGGCTGTGCCAGGCACCCCAGCCTCCTCCCAGTTAATCCTCACCACAGTCCTGCACGGAGGGGACTATTTTTACCTCCAGCTTAGAGAAGGGGGAGCCAAGATGTTAAGTGGTTGGGGCCGTGACGCGGAGCCAGATCTTTCTGCTCGGGAACCCTTGCTGCACCCTCCGTGCTGGAAGCCCAGGAGGGGCCGACCCAACCCTGTCCTTCCTCCACTCCCACCACAGGAGCTCCTGCAGACCCAGGACTTCAGCAAGTTCCAGGCCCTTAAGCCCAAGCTGCTGGACACGGTGGACGACATGCTGGCCAACGACATCGCCCGGCTGATGGTGATTGTGCGCCAGGAGGAGTCCCTGATGCCTGCCCAGGTTGTGAAGGGCGGTGCTTTCGACGGCACCATGAACGGGCCCTTCGGGCACGGCTACGGCGAGGGGGCCGGCGAGGGCATCGACGACGTCGAGTGGGTGGTGGGCAAGGACAAGCCCACCTACGACGAGATCTTCTATACACTGTCACCTGTCAATGGCAAGATCACGGGCGCCAGCGCCAAGAAGGAGATGGTGAAGTCCAAGCTGCCCAACACGGTGCTGGGGAAGATCTGGAAGCTGGCCGACGTGGATCGGGACGGGCTGCTGGACGACGAGGAGTTCGCCCTGGCCAACCACCTCATCAAAGTCAAGCTGGAGGGCCACGAGCTGCCCGCCGACCTGCCCCCGCACCTGATCCCGCCCTCCAAGCGGAGGCACGAGTGAGCGACCCCTACTCCTACCGGCCGGCCAGGCAGAGGCTGCAGGGGATGGGGGGGTCAGCAGTTCCCAAGACCATAAAGACAGCAATATTTCCTCAGCTCGCAAAGGAAAACCACCACCTTTATCTTAAGGCTGCTCCTGGGGAGGCAGGGGTGATACTCGTAGGTGAACGATGGAATTTTGTGCATAAGAACCATGGATATTTTTAATATATAACATTAGAGGCAGCATTCTTTCTTGCCTCCTCCTCTGGCCAGCAGCCCCATGCACGCACAGCCTCTGTACCTCCTGCCCGGCTGGGAAGTCGCCTGGCTCGCCCCTCCTGCAGCTGCGGCCCGCGTGTAGACAGGGACGCGGGTCCTGTCTGTTTCAGGCTGAGTCGCTCTGCCAGTGGCTCCCTTCTCCACCCGGCCCTGCCCTGCCCCTGCTCCCAGATTCAGTTGGTTCTTCTTGTGCCTTCCTCCTTCCGTTCGCAGCGGCCCCTGTCCACAGGCCCTGCCTTCGCTCTCGTGTCCCCTGGCTCGGCAGTCACAGAAGCCAGGCCCAGCTGCCTGTTTGTGGGGAGTCCGGGGGACGGGTGGGTGTGAGAGAACATCTTCCAGAGAAATACATAAGCTACTTTTGGTTCTGTAAAGTGACACCTTTCATACTTGACTGAATTTTCCAGTAAGTTCCCAACCACTTGTTCAGAAGCTGTGATTTTTGTCTCCTTCCCCACGCTCCAGCCAGGGGACAGCTCCACTCAGGAGCCATTAGATGTGGGGTGCGTGCAGAGCACACCCTGCCGGAGAGCCCAGAGGCGGTGTTTCCTGCTTCACCCTCTCACTTTCCTAGGACATTCTGGTATACCTCTCTGTCCCACCATTGGTGGGCGGTGGGTCCTCACGAACCTGGTGTGGCTTGGTGCTCCAGCCCGGGCCTGGTGGTCAGACAGAGGGACCAGGGACAGCCCAGCCCCTTCCCTCTCCCACCTGACTTCATCCAGTTGAGCAAAGGAGGGTGGCTCTCCACGTGGATGTCCTAAGTATAGTGGCCCCCAGGCTGAGCAGCTCGAAACCCGAGCCAGCCAGTGGCCACTCTGCTTTGCCTCCGCTGGGCTGTCGGGGGCCTGGACATACCTGTCGGCCAGTGGTCAGCCGCCAGGGCATGGAGCCGTCATCACAGAGCCACTGTGGCGGGGGG